TATATATATATATATATATATATATATATATATATATATATATATATATATATATATATATATATATGGTTTTGCATCGACGACGCAAATCCGTACATGTTTATGCCAACCAATCGCAGAATAACTGAGTAGCTGGTCACATGACCAAGTTGGCGATTCTCTTTACTAGGTTGTCTAGGTTGCATATCTTCCCTGTCTGCACAGCGTGGCAAGAACGTTACAAGCACGTCATTACGACGTTATTACGTCTAGTGACGTGCTCACTACGTCCGGTGCTGTCAGGGTTGTAAGTATTAGTATCTGGGGCACATTTTAAGAAATGTTTTGCTGTTTTCTCGATAAAACTTTCCTAAAATTTTAAAATAATTTTTAAGTTTTTACAAATTAATTACCAAAAGGGGTCGAGGGTGCGTATCTCGTTAAGTACTGTCGCACAGTGTTTCGCAGTGTCCGTTCTTATGGACAAAAGTCGGTATTTGAAATCTATAAATAATATATTAGAATAAAATTTTCCAATTTTATTGAATCGTAAAAATATTAATAGATTAATATTTCTCGATGTTTTCTACACCGATTAAAAAAATTAAATTTCGATCATTTTTCAGGAAGTTATGAGCAAATGAAAATGCACTAAATAAAATTTACCCACGTTTTAGATTTACGCAACTTTGATGTTTAAGATTTTAAGATTAAAATCAGTATAAATTTTGGTTGTATTCTTAATATAATTATTACAAAATGGTTTTTAGTCTTGATGTCCTAAAGTTATGTTATAAAATGTTTATTATTTAAATTAAAAAATCTTTGATAGTAAAAGGTATAAAAGGTACAATTTAATGTATTTTTAATCTTTTAAAATATGTATATTGCTGCTTGCCTAATATATTCAATTTGTAAATGTTGTTAAAATTTCCAAAAGTAACTTTCGATTGAATTAGCGGATTATTAAGCGGCAAGATTCCAACTCAAATTATTGTTAAAGAAGAAATTGAGAGAGAGAGAGAGAGAGAGAGAGAGAGAGAGAGAGAGAGAGAGAGAAATTTTTAGTTAGAACTCTGCAGCTTAACCATCTGTTAATTTAACCGAAGTTTGGTCGAAGTAATATCCGGTTTTACCAACGTCGATTTAACCTTAATAAATTTAACCAGTTTTCAAACAAAGACTTAAACTTACAAACATTCGCGAAGTGTGTGTCTCCGATTTCGATGAAACTTGGCATATTTATAGAGTGGCCAAAAATAAGAGACTCATATTTTTTTTATCGGCAATGGCGCAGGTTTAAAGGATGAAACTATCTCTCAAAGTTTCATGCCCTTTTTACTATCTCTGTAACTATTGGAGATAGAAAAAAACTTTTTAGACCAAAGTTATGCGGCTTTTATAAAAAATAAAATGGGCTAAAAAGTTTTTTTAGCGAATGTTCCTTGTTAGATTAAGATTTTATCGACATTAAGAATGTTAGTAGGACCGCAGCTAATGTCCGTTTCTACCCAGAGAGCACAATATTTCCTGAGGACGTCCTAAAGACGTTCTGAGGACGAAAAAATGTTCTCAGGACTTCCTCAGGATATACTCTGGATGTCCTCTGGACATCTGTGTTGTTAGAGTAGTAACTTTGATCAACTTGACCGGCTAGTTATTCCAACGGAATTGATCAATCGCATCTGTCAATTCTGACTAACGAGAAATGCGATTGGTAAATTCTGTTGGAATAACAAATCGGTTAAGTTAACCAAAGTTGATAAAAACGGGCATAATAGAAGAATCACATTGCGTTCAATATCTGACGTATCCGATATCCAATAGGAGAATTGGTTTTCTGAAGATAAAAATGTCGCTAGCTAGAAACTCTAGCAAAGAAACTCTATTATTGGATACTGTATCGTTGCACGTCGGATGTCAGACGCAGTGTGATTCCTCCATAAGTAGATAATTTTCAAGTTCCAAAAATGTTTTTCAAATTTGGCGCTATGTAGTTCTTCAAATTGGTGGAAAATGGCGTCTTAAGCCCGTATCAGACTACCGACTGCACAGGCCGACCCGACTGCCGACTACGATTGCCGACTCTCAATGGACCAATCACAATGAGACACCGAGTCGGCGCCTTACTGTGATTGGTCCATTGAGAGTCGGAAGTCGTAGTCGGCAGTCGGGTAGGTCTGTGCAGTCGGTAGTCTGATACGGGCTTTAGGAATCGTCTACAACGGTCGGGTTTTTAGATCGGTTACATTTTCATTGTGAGCACTAGTTTGCGAATCGATTATATATATGTTTCTTTCGCGTAAATTCGCGAAAAATGAAAAGTTTACATACATATTAAATAAATAAAAATACATGCTCGATTCACAGACTAGTACTATTCTTAATAGTACAGATGTCCAGGAGACATCCTGAGAAAGTCCTGAGGACATTTGTTCGTCTTCACGACGTCCTTAGGACGTTCTCAGGAAATCTTGTGCTGTCTGAGACGACTTCAAGACGTGACTGCGATCGCATTGTAGACGACTCTTTAGGTCTTCCGAATTGGCGCATTGCTGCTTCTAGAAGTTAGCAGTTCTAATATATACTCAGATAGCACAGATAATTAAAAAAAAAATTCAAAAAAATTCAAAAGAATTCTTCAAAGTTTAGTTCAATGAAAAGAATTCTTTTTGCAAAAAGAACTCTTTTTTTCTAAAAATGAATTCAGAATTAATGACATACGACTGAATTCTTTTTGAATTCTCTGTGCTATCTAGGTAAGTACGAAGAGATGCAAAGGTGCTCGGCACCGGCGATGTAATGGGTGCATTATATATTCCGTTTTTATAGGAATTTCATCCGAGTTCTTACTTTCGTTTTGGTTCTCGGTATGTTCTTCATCAAAGACACTTCACAGGGATGTCGTGGATTTCAGACTCAACGGCAGCGATGAGAAATCGTCAAGCCGCGACGATTTCACTCAATTAGACATATCCGCACGCCGATTACGCGAATCGATGTTTTTCGCGCGCACTCGCAACGCACCACTGCAAAAAGCGATCGATTGCGCGCGCGGAACCGTTTAACGGCTTAATCGCAATTAGCCAAAGAAGATCGGTATGCCTCTCACGCGCGGTATTCCATTATTCGAGAGCGACAGCCGATGCGTAAGACTCGCATGGTATTTCACGTGCGAATCGCCGCGCGACGTTTGGAAATCGGCGATTTACGATTGCGCAAACTGCGCACAGCCGCGCGAACCGGTAAAAAACGCGACACACCACCTTGACGACGAACGTGGCACGAACGACGTGTCGTGCCGCGCTCTTCCGCGCTCGTCGACTTCCGTTTATCGGCGATCTCGCGCAGAATCGACGTCCAAATATGCGCGAATTGCGAAATCGTATCCCACAGCGTCGCCGTCGGGCATTCCCGTTGTCGGAGGCAGGAATGAATAGCCCGGTTACTTACCCACCATCGCTCGTTATTGCTCAACAGGGGCAACTTATGAGAGCGCAAGAAGGTATATCTGCGCCGTGTACGAGGAAGTATACCGGGTGTCTCAGAAACTGCGAGCCAATCTGTGAGTCGCGACGGTATCTTGCCATATTGAGATGAGGCAACAGTTCTAATTATGGGACTCTAAGGTTAATATTATATTAATTTACATAAATTTAAAACAAAATTACTAGACTTCAAATTAGTTTATTTCTAAATAAAAAAGAAATAATCAGAAACATTTATGCGTAAATCCTACTAGGAATCCTACAGCAAGTATTACTCGTAACAATTTTATATTAATAACGTCTATATTTGCACTGTTTTAGTCAGTACAGAATATTTGTATGTATGCCGCACAACTTATTAGCAGTTTTATAAATCTGCACTGATATTCTAGATTTTCTTCTGAAATATTAAGAATATTTATGAAAATAACTTTAGAATATAATTGTAAAAGAATACAAAAATTTTTTCTGTGTTTTTATTGTATATAATGCATATTTTTTTAATACATTAATAAACCAAGAGTATCCCGAAATTGGGATTCAACTCATAATTGAAACTGTTACTTTATGTAGCTATTCAGATATGAGCGATCAAGAACGTAATGAATCCTGGAAGTTCTCGGGATGACTTCGACTTCAAACTTGAAGTCGATTCCTGGGCACATATTATGGAACTGTTCAGAATGAATTTCGACCGGAATAATTCCGTCATTCCCACACTAAGAGAAATAATATTTGAAAAAAGAAAATCCTTGTTTTCTTTAATTTCTTTATTTTTGACATATAAATTACTTGCATCGATGCATTTTATATTATTCAACAAAGAAAAATATATCCTTATTATTCAGAAATAATTTTTATGAATGGAAAGCATAAAATATTACATTGAGAATATAATGTCTTAAATGTCAAAAGAAGAGATATCATTATCATAAAAATAATCATATTGTACTTATTATAAGACTATTATAATATTCAGAAGAAAACTATAACATTGGTGAAATTCAAAACTACAATTTTTCTATCAAGATTATATATCTTTGCTTATATATAAAACAATGATTGTTAATTTGAGTATATTAGCTTTAAGCGCATATTAATTTCTCTCTTTTTCCGTAGAAATAAAAGATATTTATTCAATGAGTATTGCATATATAATACAACATATTTATTTAAATTAATATAAAATATCTTCTAAATAGGAAATTATACATTTTCTTAAAGCTTTAGTATTTCATGAAAGCAATTGTTTGTTTTATTTAAATATAAAATGATTTAGTTTGAAATAAATATATTATTAATAGCCACCGAATACTTTCTATTTTTTAAATATGTATTTCTCTCAGTATAGATTTTTATCGTGTTCTGTAGGAAAAACGGAATTATTTTGATCGAAATCTCCGTTCCGAACAGTTCCACAATACACGAGAAAAAATACTTAAAAATTTGTTCACAGAAATAAAGTTTATATCTCCCCCTTTCCCCCCCAAATAAATTTTTAAATATTTTTTTCTCAGTGCTCTGGTTTGAGTGCGCGACTTCTGGCATGCCCTGTATAGTAACGCGCCTCGGTTAATCGTCTATCGAGCTGATAATTACTACAGTGAGTTTGCGAAAGTCCCAGTTCGCGCGTTTCGCGAAGGATCGCCGAGAGCAACTGACGATTTCGTTTAAGCTCGTTATGTACTTCACCGCGTCGCTCGGCGACGCTGAGACATCGTCGTTGAGAATCTCATGTAGCGAATTATCTCCGTCAATTTGTATTTACTGACAGAGTTTGAGAGTCGCAGACATTTCCGTGCGGCCAATTTTCGCGCATGCGTACGTCACGCTGATTAGCCGATATTAATTAAATTACATTGCATTTTTTATCCTTCTTGCGTACATTTCAAGGACGCAGCAATCTGCGGACAACCCGGAAGGTTGCCGACGAAGTGGCGCATTAAGAGAGCATTTTGTGAAGTATACTTCGCGATGCTTCAGTAACGACATTTTTCACGTGGCCACGATCAGCGGACAACTAATGGTGCAGGACATCAACTTCGTTTCATACATAGACGTGTAAAGTCCGCGCGGACGTTTATGGAGATTATCTTCTTAGTTACAATTCACTTCGAACAGCGACAATGAATTGGCGTGATGAGACCGGCAACAGTCGCGGGTCAAGGAACTGTTATGGGTCTCCGACGTGTTCGTTCGCGATGCGTTATGATTTAGGCGTTACCGCACAAGCCGTTCTTTTCCGCCTCGGGGAATCTCCGAGCGTGTACTCCTCCATCGCCAGCCCCGCTCGCTGTCGAGGTGTAAACTGGCTATGTCGAAAAACCCGTCTAAAAACAGCCGACAATCTTCATTAAGCTCCAGCGGGCGTGGGCGAATAGACGCTAATTATATCGCACGAAGCGCAACCTGAAATGGGACGAAGGGAATATAATTTACGAAACTAGTTACGTCTTGAAGTTACCGTCCGTCCCGTTTCTCAAAGCTCGTTTTCAACACAGGTGTATTTATCGGCGATTAGGCGCGAATAATGTATTTACTTGAGAATTCATTGGTATTCTCTACTTCATGTATACAATTGCAAAATAGTCTAGACATAATGAAGTTGGGAGCTCACCAAACTATTAAAAATTGAGAATCATTACTGTGTGATGTGCTTGCCAAAGTAGATTATTTATAATCATTATTATTATTAATTTTTATTAGTATCATTATTATTATTGATTATATTATTTAGTGTTCTTAATTATATTATTATTACGTTCGTAATAACTCTTAATTTTGACAATTTTGTGAGCCCCCAACTTCGTCGTATCTAAACCACTCAGCATCCTACTGTACGTAATGCTTGTTGAACGTGTTAGTTCATATTCGTATATGGAAAGTCGCCATGAAGTCAGAAGCTCTGGTGACGACGTGTTCGAATTCCAAATAAGACAGAGCCCCATCGCCGTCAATATCGCTTTCCTCCAGAATTTTTCGACACACGGTAGCTATCTCTTCAGCGCTTAGCCCACCTCGAGTCAGCTGCCGACAGGTGCGTTCCAGGTCTCCCAGACCCAACACTCCGTCTTCGTCGAAATCTGTTCACGGAAAACTACTGCTTGATTGATGAAGGACGAAATGTAGAAAGTAATCATTGGCGCAACATTGTCGGAGCACGGCGCGTTCAGTTAAATAAATTGTTCGCTGCGAGAATATCACATATTTGTATCAAACACGAATATAACAAATTTTTATTTGATTTGAATTCTTAAATATTCGTAATTTGACTCGAGCGAGTTTTCTTCTGGTTGCATTAATTCAAAATTCACAAGAAATTAGCTTTATATTGCAAAACAGTTTAGATATAACAAAGTTTGAAGCTCCCCAAACTATCGAAATTGAGAATTATTGCCGACTGATTTGTGCAATAATAATATAATTAATAATATATTAATTAAGAACACTAAATAATAATATACATAATAATACTTCATAATATAACTAGAATTACAAGATTATCGGTAATGACTCCCAATTTTGACAGTTTGGTGAGCTCCCAACTTCATTGTGTCTAAACCGTTTGCAACCCATTGTACATACATGGTCTTGCATTGTTGACTTTTGTAGTCTAACGGAATTAATATTAAGTCTATCTATGATAAATGGTATACCGTCAAACGCGTATCTCTGTACGTTTTTTTCTTTCACGTAGCTACATCCGCGAGTAAAGTTCGTCCATGAAATAATTCTACAGGTGAAAAACAATAAATAGCGTGATAGGAACGAACAATTTATGGCGAGAGAGGAACATCGGGCGGAGGTATAATTATGACGCTACGCGTCGGCAAAATCGATCGGCTCTTCCGTGCAAATATTCTCGTGCATCGTGGATATCGTGTCTGAACGCCGTATGTACTTCTCATCCCGCGAAACAACTACACAAGTACAGCAAGGGTCGACCTCCAGGCTCTCTCACGGTTCGTCCGTCCGTCCGTTCGTCTGCCCGCCCGTTCATCCGTCCGTCTGGTTCACCTGGTGGTCTGTACCGTAAATTTTGAAGGCGTAAAAGACTTTCAGATCCCGCGGTGCCTGCTCGGAGAACACGGACATCATCTCGAGAAATTCCTCGAAGCACATCCCATCACAGCCGGACGTCGCATGTCCTGAATCCTGGCGTCGCGTGAAAACTTCCGAGATACGTTCCCTAAATGGGTTCTCCTGAGAAAAAAAATAATAAAAAGGACAGAACAAAAAGACACGAAACACAATGAAAAGGCAGAGAATAGAATAGAAATAGAATAGAGTTTAGAATAAATCTCGCGTGACAATAAAATTTCGATCTGTGGGAATTGACGAAAATGAAAATTGAAAATTTTGTGAAGAATATACGTGTCTTGCATTGCTGTATATATTGTATGCATATGTGATGCGACATATATATATTTTTAATACGTTTGAAATTCATTTAATATAATTGAATCATAAACCTTCAATTCGGGAATACGAGCCAAATACGAAAGAGGTAGACGGAGAGACGCCGCTTCTTGCGGCGTCATAGTACGTGGTATCATACCAGGGTCCCCTATCTCACGAAATCTCTTAAATATTCTGAAAATTGTTCAAGAACAATCTCGGTAATTTAGTGCAGATTAGTAGAATTTACGAGACAACAGTGCAAACGCGCAAATACATCACCTCAGGATTTCCTTGCGCGTGAAAAAAGTGCAATCCTGATAATCCTCAAGTTGCTCCTCGGTGAAGGTCGCCACTTTATTTCCCATCGCACTCTTATTAAATTATCCTTTTTTCTTTTATCTCGTTGCACATATGTAATATTGTTATCTCTCACTAATAGATAGTTGCTCTGTATCACTTATTATTAAGACGTAATAATAGAGGATATAAAATACTGAATAGAATATTAAAATGAAGGAAAAAGACTTTCCAGTTCGAATCGTGCAAAAGGGTATGTTACATTGACGGCAGAATAGCAAACACTGAGTTTTCGCACCCCCGATGTACGATACGAAATCGTACAATCTAATAACCAGGGTGTGTCCCGCCACTCCCATCTTCAGGGACGCTTCGATGTTGGATTTACGACAAATTGCGACCTACTTTTGCACTCTATTACGACCTTATTTCGTTGACACGCGACAACGAGCATTACTTCTGAACGTTGACGCGCGAATATTTTATTGACAATCATAATGCAATCAAACTTGTCAAATTGCAGCATATTAATTGCTTTAAATAAGTACGTAATGGTTTTATTGTAAAGAAAATAAAAATTGCAAATGCAATCGCAAGTTACAATACTATCTTAGTCCCTCAGATGTAGTGATCCTCGTACTCCTCTTTGCAATCTTGCAGATTGTGAACGCACTCCACGAATTCGTCTTCGTCGAGTCCAGAATCCATGAAGGCATGGAATTTCTTAATACTTCTTATTCTCTTGGTTTGTTTGAGCAGTGTCTCGTACATTGCCGCGATGCTGCCGTTGCTGTGCATTCCAGCCATCACCGCAACCGACTTTACATCTGAAAATAGAAAAAGACAAGTACATCAGCGTTTGTTGTTTAAAACTCCTAGTCCCTCGCTGTGGAACTCTTGATTGATGATGTCAGAAACAAGGAAACACATACCAAAATTCCTGCAAAATATATCGAAATAAAAAGACATATAAAAAATGATACAATCTATTAAGCACACCTCTAAAACACAGCGCAAACGCTTCCTATTTTGCTCTAACAAGTAATAAATAACCGTACAATTAACGTGACGTACAATCTTTATTTGTTAACCCACATTTTCTCATTATCACGTAAATTTTATAGTTATTTATTGATTGTTAGAGCAAAAAGAAAATTTCGGAGTATTTTGGAAGTGTGTTTAATCGGTTGCAAGTATCATTTTTTGGATATGCAGTCAGTGGCTCCTGATTCCACTGCTGCAAAATCCTAGACTGATGACGTTAGAAGCGAGAAAACTCATGCCAAAAATTCTTGTTATTTTCAAATAAAAAAATATTTTATGAAAGAACACTTCACACAGGTCGCATACTTGTAAAATATCAAAAACTATCCTTTTCTCTTGATAATCAATGAATAGTCTTAAAATTAACGTGGCATGCAACCTTCCTCTTTAACCTGTTCTCATTAATTTGCCACGTTAATTTTAAGGCTATTTATTGACTGTCAAGGGAAAAAAATATTCTCTTTTTTTCGGAGCATTTTACAAATATGCTCCAGCGACTTAAAGAGAGAGAGAGAGAGAGATAGAGAGAGAGAGTATTCTTTCATATAAATATTTATTTTAAAATAGCACGCAAGAATTTTTGGCATGAGTTTTCTCACTTCTAACGTTATCAATCTAGGTTCAATCTCTCCGCTGCAGTTGGACTAGTAGTTGGATTCTATAACTCGCTAACTATCGTTAACAACAATATGATTAGAATTATGTCGTTGCACATCGTTCCTAACATACCTGCATAACTATTAGCTACAACTCGTTGACAACAATTAACGAATTATAGGATCCAACTACAAGAACCTTAATCTGAATATTATTTTTTTTAATAATAAAGAAAACGTACCAGTTCCTACGGGCCAGCCGGCAATGCTGCCATCCTCGGTTACATTATTATTGAAAATTTTCGGGTATGGATCAACGATTTTGAGCGGTGCCTCGACGTCGGAGAAATAAGTGGCCGACGCGTGACACGTACACGCCAGATAGAGCGTCATCATCTCGTGCACACTAGAGCATCGGTACGCAGGCTTGGATATTTGCTTGTTGGCTTGTTGAATAGGTCGCTTCATTCTGTCTTGGGAAATCCCTCGCAACACTATACTCTGCATATTATTGTCCATAGGTATATCGCAGCTCGGGGTCAGGCTTGTCCATAGTTGTCCCTCGAATTCATCCAGCACATCTATCAGGTCCGTCTTTATCTTCATTGGAAATGGCAGGCTCAAACTAATGGCTGCAGCTTTGCGACCCAATTTATTCAAATCAGCGCACAAGTCGGATAAACTGACATTCGGATATCTCTTGGTTCTGTACCTCAAAGTCAACGTATCCAAGGCGGTCGCTAATATCGCGCTACTATGATATTTCAATTCCGCCTTGTACGTTATATTATCGAGTTTACGTGGATCAGCTGCAAATGGCCAACCGACTTGTCCACAAGAGAGTGGACTGTAGAGTGACGAGTGCTCTCCAATGTGCTGCCAGCACAACGCCGTATTGACAACTTTGATTAAATCGGACGCACTCGGTTCAGCATTATTGAAGTCTATACATGGAAATGTCAAGATACTCTTTCCGTACTCGTCACGTAAATGTTGAATACAGGCGGCTCCAAGACCAGCAAAGCCGTCGGTAGAATCCACAAGTACCTGTTTTACAAAGTCCAAGTATCAACTTAAAGTAACCAACATCTTGCATTTGGCTCTTTTTGGTTAACAGTTTTTTTTACATTAATTTTTTAGGAGCCGTGTAGATATAATTAGTTATATTAATATTGTCATACCAATATAAATAATCATTTTTACAGTAGTAATATTAGTTAAGTATTATTGTCAATAATATTGAATAAAGAGTAACTTAATCAAGTACAAATAAATATATAATAAAGTAATGCTGAAGTGATATACCTGAAATCCTTGCATCAAATCGCATTCTTCTATATAGGATCTTATCTTGTCAGAAAAGTCATCACAGAACTCTGTAGTCCATAAATTGCGACCATATGTAAATATATCAAATGGTCTGTTTATACAATTATGTGAATACTCTTTGATAACTGTTAATGATCTTGGATGAAATACAGGTAAAAGATAATCAGCCCATGATTTCATATCATTTTCAACATTAGTTGAAATTGAATCTTTAGCTTCATCTGGTTCATTCGATGCCTCTATGGACGGTATCTCTGGATTAGGTAGTTCAGTATTGGCAATTTCCAATTTCCCAACATCCCATAGTTGATCATTCGAGGTGGATGCTATGCTTGTAGGTTTTGTATCATATAAGATACCTTGTTCATATATAGAGCCTATTCCTCCTTTTAAATCTGCTATTAAAAGTCTCGGTGTAAATGTAACTTGTTTCTGTGAAATGCAACTGCCCGATTATAATTATTATTTTAATTAACTACTTTTATAACAATTATACGTACTATACGTATTCATAATTAATAATTTTCTAACATTCTTACCTGTAGATTTTCACCTTCTCTGTACAGCACATCGTGATTTATTTCAGCCAGATCTTTTGGATCGTATGTGAAATTAGAGGTCTGCAACAAAAGGTCTTACAGTGCATCATGATCCTTAAAAGAATTACAGAAATATGTTGAGATTTGTGAAGAGAACATTGTAAAATTAATACCTGTAGATTCCACCAGTGTGTACCAATAAAATTGGCATAATGTCCCAATTGAATAGTCAATATCTCCCGCGCCATTATATCTCTCGAATCTCTATCCTGTTCTATTGAGAGAAATATGTCTAAATATACTAATCGATTGTAAGGCTTATGCTTTTTTCTTCTTTAGATTGACATCTCTTCTGAAATGTAATACGTCTTGACAATAAAGTATCGACTATCACACACAATTGCTTGGGTGTAAACGAAGGTTAAAATGGCTGCGTTCCGAAATTCACTGCCAGTACTGAAATTCTATAATATACGTAACATAAACTATAGATTTTCAGTACTGGCAGTGCATTTCGGAACGCAGCCAATGAATGAACTGAAGAACCAATCAGAATCTTTGAGTCTAAAGAAGAGGTAACTAGAATTTTAGTTGGGTTTAAGGGTGCCGTCCCATTGAGCACGGATCGGAACGCCGGATCGGATTTCTTACTATAATGAGCGTTCCGTTCTCTAGTTCCGTTCCGTAAAAGTTTCCTCTACCAGTCCCATGTAGCAAAAACGGAACGGATTTCTAGTTATAAAATATATTTCACTCTTCAATTAAATATTTCAGAATA